GGAAGAAAAGCTCTTGAGTCCAGAATGGTCCGGGGTTTGTTTCTACTAGTTGTAGGACTGCAGGTTAGGCGGACGACGTTCCATGGCTAGGAGCTAAATCCTGGAAACCCTTATAGAACTCCAACAGAGCACTTCCCACAAGCCTCCATCTTCCACTCTGGCTCTTCGTAAGGAATTCAGGACTTAGGCACCATACATATATGTAAGGTAGCACATGTATATTTTATGTGTATATGTAAACAACTTTAACTGAATAAATATATAAACAATATCTGTATATGTATATATATATATATACTGGGTGTGGGCCCCGACCCCCCCCCCCCCGAACAATTTGAAAGGTATTCGGCTGAATTTATAAGGCTATTATTACAGTTCTCCAGCTGAGGCAATTGGTTGGGCAATGCTGTTCCAGTCTTGATCCCTGAGCTGGAACGCGTAGCGGATTTAGCAGGTTGAAGCATGGATCCATGTAGCTGGCCAGGCAGACACGAAGGCTTTAAGGTTCCCAGGTTTTTAGGCTTAGGTGCCGAGGCCATCCTAGTAACGTGGGTCCACGGCTTCAGAATGAAACAGCCATTCCGGTCAGGGACGTCGCCCTTTGCCTGTCATTGTATCATTGACATCGAGCTTCCCGAGAAACAGCAGAAGAGCCTTGAGATGAAGAGGGAGTAGATGCTTTGTTGGGAACTCCAACATGTCCAACCTGGCCTGCGTGCGAACTCAATCGAAAGCGGAGTTGGTGTCAGGACCTAAGGGCTTTTCTAGAGGTGGTATCTAGCTGCACATGCTGATAGCGGGATCACTTATGCAGCCTGGTCTCCTCATACCATACACCAGCCAGCTGTTCCTCTTCTCGCAACTGAATACTGGCCTCACCGACGCATCGATGAAGTCTTCAGCAAGCGATGACACTGAGTCAAGCGTGACGAAGTTTAAGTCTCGGTTGACTTTGATCACTGCCTCGGCGTGGTCAATGCCACGTATGGACACAGAGTTCCCGAGAAATGGCACGCCTGCCTTGCAAATCTACAAGCCCTGTGCCTGTGCAACTTTATGACCGTGTATGCGCGCATTGCCTGTCGGCACATCCCAGGAACCCACTCAGCAAAAGACTACAATCAGGCCCGCGCCCGCCTTCCGAACCTTTTAGCTTCTGCTTCGCTTGGTAGGCGTGACTCGGCGCCTTGGTCTTTTTGAAGAAGTCACAAGGACTCCTTCTAGGCTGAGGTTGGCGCGCTGGCGTGCTTCTAGCAACATATGTTTCGCCAGACTCAGAAACGAGCTCGTGGCACACTACTAGACGAAACTTTTAAATTTACGCACAACTTGCCAGCTATAGAAAAAAGTATCTTGCCAGGCTTCGAAGGCTCGCCGCACCGTTTGCTTTGTAAGGTAACAGGATGAGGCGGCAGTGCTTGGTGTCAGGCGCGTACAGGAACTGATCCAGGAGCTCCCGCGCGCAGCAGGCCACCTTCGCTTATTTCCATTATGATGGCTTGCTACAACTTCAACTGGCGCGGGCTACCGGTCTTCAGCTCCGTCATTTACTGACAAGACACAACAGCATACACCAGCGGCGTGCCATTCTGCGGTGGCATGGACGGTGCCACGTCCTGAAGCTTCGGAAGGACCTCCACGTCGTCCCAGGGGAAATCTGGGTTGACACAAATCTTGATCGTTACAGTTTAAAGAAAGATCCCGATATCTACAAAAACTAATAACGGTCTCGGACTATGCCTACAGATTCGACAAGTACGACTCATGACAAACATCTCTGTCGAGGTACAGGCCACCACGCCACAATCTTCGGCGAAGCTGCCGTCTGGAAAGAAGGCGATAGGAGTTGAAACCTGCCAGCGCCCAGGTGAACTGCTCCGTAGTGTTGTAGCGGTCTTTCAGCAGCTCAGGGGCCTGCTTCAAGCGCCTGGCCAGAACCGGGAATCGTAGCTGGTTGCTTAGTTTTTTGCTGGCTCCTGAAGACGACCCAGAAACACAAACGCCAATGCGCAAATAATGGGACTGGAGGTCCGACGCCTTCCCAGCAGCAGATCTGCAATGGCAGGTGGGCGTTTACAACCTCACTGCGACGGTCTTGACTGCTCTGAATGAAGCCGATTCAACCGTAGTGCTCGATTCACTTGCAAAGCAGAGGCGATTTAGTGATCGTGGAATTTGGAATGCCTCAACCCTAGACGGCCCGAGACCCTTGCCCAGGCTGCAGCCGGAGATTGATCTCCAGGAAGACGAGACGACAGGCATGAGCAGGAGGGGATGGAGAGGCTTCGGGATCTTACAACCTTCTCTGAGACAAGATGAGATAAGTGAGATAAGTCTGCAAATCTCGACCTGGGAGCCCGACCTCGGCCTTTCCCCTTGCCCTTGCCACCACGTCGCTTTTTACTCTGAGGCGCAGGAACGATGGTCTCTTCAATGGGGTCCTTGTCCAGCAGCACCGCCAGCGCAGACTTGTAGAGCGGGCTCTTGGGGTTAGCCATGAGTTCGAACACCCTCTTCTCGAGATAGGGAATGAGTGCCTGGGTGTGCTCCGCACTCAGAGTGGTCCCACAGAAGGGAATTCGAAGCTCCAGGCATGCGAGAGCAGCCCTGCCGTCGCCCTTGCATTTCGGACGGGCACAGGTTCTGATTGACCGTTACTGACCGCAACCCCCAAAAAAACAAAAATCCTCGAAACCGGCACCCAGTATATATATATATACATAGCTACATATATAGATATGTATCTATGATAGCACATACTTTTCTATACAGTTATACAAGTGTACGATGATATACATGTATATATATATATATAAAGATAAATAAACACGTGAAACATATAATGTAAAGTGTCATCTAGGGGCTGCAAGGGACATGCGCCAAAGCCACCAGTACGCATGCATGCGGGTCCCGTAGAATCGCTCTCTTCAGGGACGACTGTAGTTGGCCACTGTTTTGTGTGGGTTGCTAAACCCTGAACCCTAAACCCTAAACGCTAAACCCTTATAAACCCAAATAATAGATTTTTGAACCCTAAACCCCTAAACCCTAAACCCCCTGAACCCTAAACCCCTAACCCTAAACCCTAAATCGTCCAGGATGCCCAAGTTCCCAGGCACTCTTCGCGGGCTCGGGCTCTACCTCGTCGGTGCTGCGGAGGGTCAGGTCCTCGTGTGCCTCTTGTGCGGCTTAGGGTTTAGGGTTTAGGGTTTATGGCCAAACCCTAAACCCGAAACCCTAACCCTATACCACGGGGTAGTATGGGGTTTAGGGTTTAGGGTTTAGGGTTAGGTTTAGGTTTAGGGTTCAGGGTTTAGGGTTTAGGGCTACCAGGCCTCGCAGAGCTTCCGGATCGTCGTGGTCTTGCCAGTTCCCGACGGGCCGATGACGAGGCCAATGCTCCATCTGCAGGGCTGTTGTACGTAGGCTTTTTAGGGTACGTTTCAACCCTAAACCCTAAACCCCAAGCCCCAAGCCCCAAACCCCAAACCCTAAACCCTAAACCCCACAGGCTTTTAAGGTTTGTTTCGGCTTGGACGTTTCCAGGGCCCAAAGGCTTGTTTGGGGTTTTTGGGCGCTTTTTGGGCTCAAACGTTCACAGGGCCATTATGGGGCCACAAGGGCTCTTGGTAATCCCCTATTAAGGACTATTAGTATAAGGGGGAACATCCCAACCCCTAACCCTAAACCCAAAACCCTAAACCCTTCCCAAAGTATAGGGCTTCGCTGGAGAAAGTTCTGCCTTGAACTAAGCCGCTGCACGGAGAATGGGCAAGCGACCCTGCATCCACATGGAGGGAGGTAAGTCCGGTTTGGGGTTTAGGGTTTAGGGTTTGGGGTTTGGGGTTTGGGGTTCAGGGTTTAGGGTTTAGGGCTTGGCACCCCCCACTCCCCCACATGCGGTCCAAGATGCGCTATGCTCTCGAGGCTCTTCTCAGGCAACACTGGGATGAGGCATTCGGCCTTACCCTGCGAAGGTGTTCAGGGTTTAGGGTTTAGGGTTTAGGGTTTAGGGTTTAGGGTTTAGGGTTAGTTCTGCGAAGGCAACGGCGCTTGAGAGCAGCTTCAAGAACCAACTACCCGGGTCTGTGCCAGCTGCCAAATGGCTCGCTCTCTCCTTCTCTCCCTCCTTCGCTCACTCATGTGTTGTTTGCTGTGTCTTTCTTTTTCTTCCTTGTTGTTGCTTTGTTTTTTCTTCGTTCTTTCGTTCTTTCTTTCCTCTCTCTCTCTCTCTCTCTCTCTCTCTCTCTCTCTCTCTCTCTCTCTCTCTCTCCCCCCCCCTCTCTCTCTCGCTCTCCTCTTTTTCTCGCTCGTACTCACTCTTGGGGCAACAGCTCAAGTGCTGCCTACGTCTTGAGCTACAGCGCCTCGAATGGGAACTCGAAGGCGGCTGCTGCATCCAGTGTCCGCCTCAAATTGCACGAAAGGAGTATAAGACACTATACTTCACTTTACATGATACTATATGTGTTTATTTACCTATATATATACATATGTATATGTATGCATATACGTATATGTGTATATATCTGTATATGTCATACTATATATACATATATGTATGTATATTGATATTTCATTATATCCAGTGCAAAGTGCAGCAAATGGATTCGTTTGCAGTCGCTAGGAAGTCGCTAGGCTGGCCTCGAGTGCTCTGAACACATACTCCGGAACACGAGCCGCCTAGAACCTATAACCCTAAACCCAGTGAGGGAGAATGTAACATATCCCGAGGGCCTAGCCCATGGTTTAGGGCCTTCATGGTATAGGATATACAACAAAAAACCTAAGCCCACAAAGCCCTCGAAACTGATCCGCCTTAAACTCTCAGCCTAAACCCTTACACCCTTACACCCGCAAGCCCTTGGAAATCATTAAACCCTTACACCCCAAAACCCGAAAGGCCCTGTCACTCCACACCAACCTACACCCCTGAACTAAGCCTTCGAAAAGGCACGCCCCCAAAGCCTAAAACCCTAAAAGCAGCCAAACCCTAAACCCTAAACCCTAAACCTAAACCCCAAACCCCAAACCCCAAACCCTCCTCCGTAGCCCAGGGTCTTATCCAGCTGGACTTGGGTGGACTTCACCTCGCGCCGGACCCGAAGCGCGCGGGGCCACACAGCAGCCTCTGTGGCCGAGAAGGCCCGCCCAGCACCTTGGGGTTTAGGGTTTAGGGTTAGGGTTTAGGGTTTAGGGTTTAGGGTTTAGGGTTTAGGGTTTAGGGTTTAGGGTTTAGGGTTTAGGGTTTAGGGTTTAGGGTTTAGGGTTTAGGGTTTAGGGTTTAGGGTTTCGGGTTGAGGGTTGAGGGTTTAGGAGCCGACTTCTCCGAGGGCTCTTGGGGATGAGGGTTTAGGGGTTTAGGGGTTTTGGGGTTTAGGGTTTAGGGTTTAGGGTTTAGGGGTTTAGGGGTTTAGGGGTTTAGGGGTTTAGGGGTTTAGGGGTTTAGGGGTTTAGGGTTTAGGGTTAGGGTTTAGGGTTTTACGGTTTGCGGTTTGGGGTTTAGGGCTTCAGGGGTTTTGGGCTTGGGCGTTTAGGCTTTGGGAGCCCTCCACAGCGGTACTGGGCGGTGAGATTGACGAATATAACTTCGACACACTCACCTGTTGCGAGTTCATGAGTCATACTTGGGGGTCTCCGAAAAGAGGTGCGCCATTTTTGGCGGGTGGCTTTGAAGGGGATTCTATTCTATTTGAGGTTTTGGAGGGGGTAGCCCTGTCTTGGGCAATGCCCAGTTGTACTTCCCGAATCTCATCGCTCCATTTAGAAGACGGCTCGGAGGGGGCAAAGAGTTGCACCGACGATCATGAGCAGAACTTGGCAAATTCCCCTTACACTAACAGTCCTTAATGGGGACTATAGTACCCCTAAACCCTAAACCCTAAGCCCTAAGCCCTAAGCCCTAAGCCCTAAGCCCTAAGCCCTAAGCCCTAAACCCTAAATCCTAAACCCTAAACCCTAAACCCTAAACCCTAAACCCTAAACCCTAAACCCTAAACCCTATGTCTATACTCCCGACTAATGTTCGAAGTCCCTTCAGGGCTTGGATGCAGCACGAAATTCGCCAGGTCGCTTCCGGTCTCTCCAGGCTTCGCCAGTTCCTTCCTTGGTGCGTTTAGGGTTTAGGGTTTAGGGTTTAGGGTTTAGGGTTTAGGGTTTAGGGTTTAGGGTTTAGGGTTTAGGGGCAGTTTTTCGAAACAACTCTGAACTGCTGCCTTGTTGGGGCGAGATGTGAAATTCTCATGTTTATTCCTAACTCGGAATGTAACCGGACCAAAATGAAAGAAACAACACAACCAAGAAGGACCCAGTAAACCCACAAACGGAACAACAGACCTGCCGATAGTTGCACTTCGCTGGCTGGAGTTTGGGGTTTGGGGTCTAGGGGTTAATTTTAGGGCTTTAGGGTTTAGGGATTAGGGTTTAGGGTTTAGGGTTTGGGGTCTAGCGTTTAATGTAGGGCTTTAGGGTTTCTCAGGTTTGCAAAGTAGGGTTGCAAGTCTTAGGGCTTCGGGTCTCAGGGCTCTTTTAGGGCTTAAGGCATAGAGTTGACATAGAAAAGGCCACCGAACTCCTCCAGGCGTCCCCATGAAGCCTGCTGCAAGGTGCACCCTCACCTGGCATGCGCCAGAAGGCGGGTGGGGGGGGGGGGGGGGGGGTCGCTCTTGAGACCCTGCTAGAACTTTAGGGGCCAAATGGACCGGAAATTTGGGACCAGTCTACCCCATAAACGCCCGATTCGGGTATCTGGACCACAAACCTTTTGGGGGTTCATGTAACCTCCCCAAGGAAGAGGGGAACTAGGGTTTCGCTAACGTTGAATCTCGGGCCTTAGGTACCGCCTCTCTGCAGGTTTCAAGGTTGACAACACATATTGGGAATGGAGTTGACGCAGGAGGACGCAAGCTTGAGAGGCTTTGAGCTTTTTCGGGGCTTGGGGGCCCTAAACTTTGCAGTCCCTGCGAGGGGCCTCCCGCGCGATCGGCGGGTTCGGATTCCATGACACCGACCCATTGCTTTGCACAACCTCAGCAAAAGCGTTTTTGGCGTCCTTATCATAAGGGGTCCCCTATTCTCGTAAACCCCCAAAAAGGGTTGATGTCTGCTGCGCTTACATGATGCAATGACGCGCCTGGCTATGCCTTGTTCTTTGCTTTGGTTTGTTGGGGTTTAGGGTTTCGGGAAAAGCCCTAGGCCCTAAACCCTAACCCTAAACCCTAAACCCTAGACCCTAAATCCTAAACCCTAAACCCTAAACCCCAAACCCGGCCAGCGGCAAAATCAGGCTGGAAGAAGCTGATGCATGTCGTGCAGTGTGTGCCGATGAGCACCTGCGCAGCCAAGGATGGAGCGCAGAGGAGGGTTCAGGGTTTAGGGTTTAGGGTTTAGGGTTTGGGGTTTAGGGTTTAGGGTTTAGGGTTTAGGTTTAGGGTTTAGGATTTAGGGTTTAGGGTTTAGGGTTTAGGATTTAGGGTTCAGGGTTCAGGGTTTAGGGTCCAT